CCGCCCCCCGCAGTTGTGAGGGGGGGAGTCGGGCCTGGGCGCAACCCCGCGGCTGGAAAACAGCTTCGGCTCAAAATAAATGGACTTTATGGTGTAAAAAACCCCTTCGGCTTCAAAAAAACACAGTTGACAGTGTAAAAAAAGCTTCAGCTTCAAAAAAATGTAGTTAATAGTGTAAAAAAGGGGTTCAGCTTCAAAAAACCCCCCAGTTTATGGTGTAAAAAAAAGCTTCGGCTTAAAAATACAGTTTATGGTGCAAAAAAAAAGCTTTGGCTTCAAAAAAATATAGTTTATAGTGTAAAAAGGGGGTTCAACTTTAAAAATACCCCAGTTTATAGTGTAAAAAAAGCTTCAGCTTCAAAAAAATGTAGTTAATAGTGTAAAAAAGGGGTTCAGCTTCAAAAAACCCCCCAGTTTATGGTGTAAAAAAAAGCTTCGGCTTAAAAATACAGTTTATGGTGCAAAAAAAAAGCTTTGGCTTCAAAAAAATATAGTTTATAGTGTAAAAAGGGGGTTCAACTTTAAAAATACCCCAGTTTATAGTGTAAAAAAAGCTTCAGCTTAAAAAAAATAGTTTATGGTGTAAAAAAAAAAAGCTTCAGCTTCAAAAGAAAAAGTTTATGTTGCAAAAAAAAGCTTCAGCTTAAAAAAAAATATATAGTTTATGGTGTAAAAAAAGCTTCAGCTTAAAAAAAATTAGTTTATAGTGTAAAAAAGGGGTTCAGCTTCAAAAAAACCCCCAGTTTATGGTGTAAAAAAAAGCTTCGGCTTAAAAAAAATAGTTTATGGGGTAAAAAAAGCTTCAGCTTCAAAAAAAAACCAGTTTATGGTGCAAAAAAAAAAAGCTTTGGCTTCAAAAAAAATATAGTTTATAGTATAAAAAAAGGGTTCAGCTTCAAAAAAACCCCAGTTTGTAGTGTAAAAAAAAGCTTCAGCTTCAAAAAAAAAGTTTATGTTGTAAAAAAAGCTTCAGCTTCAAAAAAAAAAAGGGTTTATGGTGTAAAAAAAAGGTTTCAGCTTAAAAACCCCCCAGTTTATAGTGTTAAAAAAAGCTTTGTTTTAAAAAAAAAATAGTTTATGGTGTAAAAAAAATCTTCAGCTTCAAAAAAATGTAGTTAATAGTGTAAAAAAAAGGGGTTCAGCTTCAAAAATAACCCAGCTTATGGTGTAAAAAAAAGGTGTCAGCTTAAAACCCCCCCAGTTTGTAGTGTTAAAAAAGCTTCGGCTTAAAAAAAATTTAGTTTATAGTGTAAAAAAGGGGTTCAGCTTCAAAAAAACCCCCAGTTTATGGTGTAAAAAAAAGCTTCAGCTTCAAAAAAAACCCAGTTTATGGTGTAAAAAAACCGATGGGGACACAGCTGCTACCACCACCAGACCCCCAAGGGCGGCTGTGCCCCCCACTCCCCTCAAAAACACCCCTGACAGCACCATGTCCGTGTCCCCACTTCTTTCCACAGCCAGCCAAACCCCATTTCTCCTGAAAATAAACCTTAACAGTGATTTGTTTTAAAAAATATGTCTTTAATTGGTGTGCTGAGGAGAGCGAGGGGAGGAAGGGGCTATCCGAGACCCGGCGAGGGGGGCTGTGGGGTGAGGAAGGGGGCGATGGCAGCCCCCTCACCTCAGTCTGTGGACTCCAGCACGGACTCGCTGAGGGCCAGGTCCCAGTAGTGCTCCGCGCCGTGCTTCTTAAAGTGCTCCCGTGCCATGTTCTCCGTGGGGCACTGCTTAAATTTCATCTCCCCGAAGCTGCGATCCTTCGCTGTGCCCTGGGGAGGAGAAAAGGGACGCTTTCCAACCCATCTCCGGTGGAAAGTCACGGGAAACATAGAATCCCAGACTGGTTTGGGTTGGAAAGGACCTTAAAGCTCATCCAGTTCCAACCCCCCTGCCAGCAGCAGGGACACCTTCCACTAGACCAGGTTGCTCAAAGCCTCATCCAACCTGGCCGAGAACACTTCCAGGGAGGAGCAGCCACAGCTTCTCTGGCCAACCTGGGACACTGTCTGACCACCCTCACAGTGAAGAACTTCTTCCTAATATCTCATCTAAACCTCCCCTCTTTCAGCTTAAACCCATTTCCCCTTGTTTTGTCATTAACTGCCCTTATGAAAAGTCCCTCCCCAGCTTCCTGGAGCCCCTTCAGGTACTGGGAGGCCACTAGAAGGTCTCCCTGGAGCCTTCTCTTCTCCAGGCTGAACAGCCCCAACTCTCTCAGCCTGTCCTCACAGCAGAGCTGCTCCAGCCCTCGCATCATCCTGGTGGACTCCTCTGGACTTGTTCTAACTGCTCCATGTCTTTCTTATGTTGGGGGCTCCAGAACTGGACGCAGTACTCCAGGTGGGGCCTTACGAGAGTGGAGTAGAGGGGCAGAATCCCCTCCCTCCACCTGCTGGACACGCTTCTCCTGATGCAGCCCAGGATATGGTTGTCCTTCTGGGCTGCAAGTGCACATTGTCTGCTCGTGTGCGCTTGGGACATGGCTTGGGAAACCCAGAAATAAACATTTTTTCAGGTTGATGCGTTATCAGCAGGAGCTCCGTGTTGGGGAGATGCTCCTAGTTCTGCTACAGCTCAAAAAACACTATAAAGAGTCAGAGCAGCAGGTCTGTGTCTGATCCAAAGCCTCAGAACATGGTTTCTGCTTCAGCTGCTGTCAGACGGGGCTCACCTCCCTCCAGTCGAAACCTCCCCAGATTAAACTACACCCAGGACTCACCTCCCAAACTAGAGAGCACTTGTTTGTTTTCTTAACGGACTCCTCGTCGGACTCATCATCATCTAAAAAAAACAGCCAATAAAGCCAATATTAGTCCCAAAGTCATCGAAGAGCAGGGAGCCCCAGTGCTGCTTCACCACGCCGCCGCACGCGCTTTCTCACTTACCCTCTCCCTTTGTGTTCGATGTCTGCTCGTCCCATTTTATTCGATGAAGCATAAGACGTTTGAATTTCTTCTGTGCTTTCGGGCCTGGGGAAGAATCAAGACTCAACATTCACAAAAAGTCCTTTAAACTTTCTGTTTTTTTAAGAGTTTCTAAAAAGCAGCAGAAGCCAAACGATGCCCACAAACTGCCCAGCACACCTGGACAAGCAACTAAAGGGCAGCCAGGCTGATCCAGTGCTAACACCCCCGGGGCAGCTGAGCCTTTGGCAGAGCACCGAGCTCTCAGCCACTTCAGGATTTCCTGCTGCCAAACAGCCTCTTCAACACCTTGTAAAATTACTTAGAACTGTGCAAATCTCAATGAACCATCCCAGACTGAGAGCTGAGGCTCTCCTTGCTCCAAGCATCCCGCTCAGAGAGCATCAAAGATTCACATCAAGTGCTTTTCCCTTCAACATCGAACGCGTTGGGTTTTCTAACTGGATTACGGCGCGCTCTGCGCTCATCCCTAACCCCATTAGAGCTGTAATTAAGGGAATTAACAACCTCCTTACTTCCTTGTCTTCCCATAACCCTCAGTCAACAATTTTCACAGTAATTTTTTTGCTCGAGGCAAGCTTTGGAACGTTACACGCTGTCACCAAAAGCCTGCCTCAGAATTCCTCACCTCCTTCTACCACGACCACGTTGACATCTTTGTGTAAAACCACCACGCCTGTTAAGTACAGCTGGCCAGCGTTCGCCTCGATTTTGAATTTTTTTGCTGGATTGCTCAAGTTTCTGACCCTAAGAATAGGATAAAAAAAACCAAAAACAAAACAAAAAACACCCAAATGTTTGTAGAAAACCAGAATTATTATCACCAGCTGTAAGAGCTCCCTATGCTGACTTCACAGAGTGCAGCATTTCCTCCTCCAGCTCCTCGGGGGCTTCACCCACACCTCAAAATGACACGTGTTTTGTTATCAGACTGCTCAGAGAAGCTGTGTCTGTCCCTTCCCATTCTCATTTCATTTAAATCTTGAAAGTTTCCTCATTTCTGGATATCAATGTACAAAGTTAACTCCGAGAGTCAGGAAACTCATCAGAAACTTCAATCCCAGCTGAAACACACCAACCCTGACATGGGATTGTAGTGCTCAGCCCAGCCCAGCACTCACAGAATCACAGAACGTTGGGGATTGGAAGGGACCTCAAAAGATCATCCAGTCCAACCCCCCTGCCAGAGCAGGAACCTCAATGAGATCACACAGGAAGGCGTCCAGGCGGGTCTTGAATGTCTCCAGAGAAGGAGACTCCACACCCTCCCTGGGCAGCCTGTCCCAGGGCTCTGGCACCCTCACTGGAAAGAAGTTTCTTCTCCAGTTGAAGCAGAACCTCCTGTGTTCCAGCTCACACCCATTGCCCCTTGTCCTACCATTGGGCATCACTGAGAAGAGCCTGGCTCCATCCTCATGACATTTGCCCTTAACATATTTGTAAACATTAATGAGGTCTCCCCTCAGTCTCCTCACCTGTACACAGCTATGTGAACTCCCTGGGAAACGTCTTCTTTCAGCTTTTTAACCTTCTTGGCTTTTCGCTGTTCTGCTGTGAGTTTTCTCGCAGCGTTTGCTTCTTCATGAGCTCTGGGTGCAAAGAAAGATGCAACAATAAGCGAAACACAGCCTATGGTGTAACTGTTACGGCACCGAAATGGATCCTTCTCTCCCTAAGCACAGAATAAGTTCCACAGATCCCAAAGCAGCTGCAACTCCTGCCCAGATTTCTGCCTGTACCTCCCTGAATTAAAAGCACACTGTTTTTTTTAAGTCAGTCGCCAGTCCAATTCATCCTCAATCTCTTCCCTGAAAACATTCATCATTAACAACTGCGAGGACGATCATTATCATGGCAACAAACTCATTTAATACAAGGCACGAGGCCTCTCTCCAGTGGTGAGAGCTGATCACCAAGACCCAGCTCCTGCCGGGCCTTGAGGGGGGTCACTCAAGGCAGCTAAAATAGGCTACAAGAGCAACACACAGAAAATCACACTGCTCCTGCTTTGCTGCATCACTTCAGGATTTCATTCTCTACAAACAAATGCAGCAGCAGCACTAAATCTGTCTAAAAATGACCAAAAAAAATAAAAGGTGTAAAAAAAAAGGTGCCACCTACTTCTGTCTCTTCGCCATCTGCGCTCGAACGTGAGCTTCGACTTTTGTTGGGTCTTGAACAGCTTCTGTCCCCAGTACTCGCATCAAATTTGAAATTCTTACTGCAAAGGAAATGGGAGAGGAGCTGTGAGAGGCTCCTGGCAGACAGCACTTCACCAGAACGGTAAAGCACAGGAACACCCGGCATGCTCGCAGCCCCAAAGCGACTCCACAGGTGGGTATCACATCACACTGATCCCACAGAGCCTGTGCTGCCTGCAGCATTCCCAACCATGGGAATGGCCTGGGCTACTGGTTTGACACCCAGGGCCTGTGTTAGACCAGAGCTCTGCCCACTGTAGCCAGAATTTACCTTTGGGCTCTGGCGGCGGCATCAGGCCCAGCCTGACTTTCTCTTGTAGCTCCTTCTGGGCTTCTCTTCGAGTCTGTCGTCGTAATTTCTTCTGCTCTTTCTTAGTTAAATAAACACCCAGGGTCACTGGTGTGTCACTGTCCACTGGGAAGAGAAACGAGACAAGAGAATGAGTTTAAGCTGAAAGAGGGGTGGTTTAGATGAGATATTAGGAAGAAGTTCTTCACTGTGAGGGTGGTCAGACAGTGTCCCAGGTTGGCCAGAGAAGCTGTGGCTGCTCCTCCCTGGAAGTGTTCTCGGCCAGGCTGGGTGAGGCTTTGAGCAACCTGGTCTAGTGGAAGGTGTCCCTGCTGCTGGCAGGGGGGTTGGGACTGGAGGAGCTTTAAGGTCCCTTCCAACCCAAACCATTCCATGATTCTATGATTCTATGAAACATAAATCTGGTTTTGAAAAAGCAAGAGAAAACACCACCTGCAGCCGTTAGACCCCCCACTTCATCGACAAACCTGACCTCTGCCATGCTGCAGGCACCAAATACAGAACCAAGAAAATGGGTTTTTGGCTATTTTCTGATTTTACTGAAAAGTAAGATGCTCTGGGGTTATTTTACATCCCTTTCTCAGGGCAAAGAAAGTGAAAAAACCAACGTGTCGGAGATGAGAAGCTCGTGTCTGCACCGCTAGCGAGGCCATCGACAGGTAAGGAAGCTACTTGTAACTGCTACAGGTTTTATATATTTAAAAAAAACCCCCAAAAACAAAAAAAACAGGGCAGAGACTCTCCCTTCCAATTTCAGCCACCTCTGCAGAGCTTTTAAGACTTTTTTTTTCCTCAATATTTCTTCTCCTCACAGGGACAAGAGATGCCAGGCTGTAGCGCTACAAACAAGGTTCACCCCATCAAGCGCCAGCTGCTCGGAGTATTTTGTGTCGAGTTTAACAGCAAAGTCAACCAAAACTGAGGCAATACCTGGTGGGTTGAGCTGTGCCGGGTGCTCCACGAGGTTTGTGATCCCAAAATACTCATCTCTCTTGGAAGAAGTTCCACCTTTTCTAGAAAGGAGAGAGTTGGGTGTCATTGGAAACCTCCCAGCCTGAATTCCTGTGTTCAAGCCATGGAAAATAAAACCCCAACACTTCCCTTGGGCCAGCGGTGGTGGGTACGTAACACACACAAATCCCAACCCAAAGCAAAGATCAGAGCTTGATGTGCTGAAGGAGGCACGCAGCGACGCAGAATTCATGTGTAGGTGTCTCCTCCAGCAGAATATCCACCTACACTTCATGGTTAGGAAGCAGGCTTCCCACAACTCTAGTGTGAACGAGACTTGGATAAAAACCAAAACACACCACTAACTTTGGGACAAAAAACCCCAAAATCCCTCTAACTCGCAGGCAGTCACCTTCTTGGTCGCTGGAGGAACGCTGCCTCAAACAAGGGAGAAGGGCAGCTGCCTCCCAGTAGCCCCAAGATTTGGGAGCAAACCTAATGCCCACCTGGATCTCAGAGGCAAGGGAGGTGGAACTCCACAGCTCCAGCAGATACACTTGGCTCCATTTACCCAAACACTCAACCACGTCACCCCTGAAAAGCTCCAAAAGCTTCAAAACAAGTCAACCACTTACAAGTCAAGGCCATTGGGGATGATGTAGGAGTCCCACCACTCAATCTCTGGGATCTCTCCCTCTTTCAGCTCCTTCTTTGGGGTAATGAGAGCCAACTTGGTGGAAGTGTGTATCCCTGTCTTCCTGGCAGCCTGTGAGATCTCTGCCTGCAGCTTTTCTAGTTGAGCCTGAGAATGAGGAGAGGGAAAATGGCACATAAAGGTCATTTCAAAATAGCACAACCTTCAGGAAAAGGACAGTGTGCATCCACCTGCTGATTTACTTATGGTTTTTGGTTGGGTTTTTTTAAAATCATCTGAGGCAGACTGCAGAAGAAATCACACAGCACATGATGGTGGAGTGTTTTCACAGAAGCTCACAAACCTGCCAAAAATCTGGTCTTATTACTGAGCCTTCTAGGAGCAGGGAATGATCCCAAAGGAATGTCTCCCTGGGCATCATCTCCCTGGATTATTCCATCTCATGAAGCTCTTCTTTCCCCTTCTCCCAAAAAACATGGGCATTTTACTAAGATTCCTTTAAATATCTACCTCTAGGACGATGATTTCTGCAGAAGAAATTCTTTTGCAGTCTTTTTTTGGCCAGGAAATGATCTACTCTCTTTTCTTTGGCCAGAAAATGATCTACTCTCTTTTCTTTGGCCAGAAAATGATCTACTCTCTTTTCTTTGGCCAGAAAATGATCTACTCTCTTTGGAAATTTTCAATCTTTTGTCAAAAAAGAAAAAAGACAAAAAGATTTTGCCTTTCATCACGTGAAGCTAGCTGTCAGAAAACCCTTTCCACACCCACGTTCTCATTTGGATTCCTGCCTTTCCAACAAAAAAAAAAAAAGACGTTGACAGAAAAGCTTCAGGTGACTTGACTGCAAAACTTCTTCCTCAAAGCCAACACAGCTCCCTTCACATCCCAGGAGAGGAGAATCAACTCCCATCCCGAACCAAACCCTCACGTCCGTGCTGTCAGGTAGCATGGCAAGACCTCAAATACCTTCGTTCGCAACCTCTGGGCAATTTTCTCAAATTTGCCTTTTTCATGGAACTTAAAGGTGCGTTTCTGACGCTGGGCTGGGGTTATGGAGACCCGGGGGTCAAAGTAAGTGTTCGACTCCATATCTTCCGAGGGCTTTTCTTTAAGCTGTTGTTTGAACTGCTCTCTCTTCACAGCTCTGATGTTTGCTTTTAGGGTTGGCATGCGGTGAGTCAACTCAATCTCTTTACCAGTCGCATCAACAGTTCGGCCTTGCTCATCCAAGATCAGTGGCGTTGGCTTTGTCTGATCCTTCAGCTCCACTTTCCTGGTGGCAAGACAAGATAATGTTGCATTAAAATGCAGGGATGGCATTAATTCAAAGGAAGTGTCAGTTATTTCCATGGTAAGCACCAAACCAGTGCACCAAACCAGCCCACAACTTGGGAGAGGCCTCCTCATAAGGTTCAATCTCATCTGTGCCACCAGAAAGGACTCAAATCCCTTGAGCAGAAGGTGGGAGAGTCTGACCTAAGGAAGGATTAATCTCCATTTCACCTCCTAAATAAATAATTTGTTCCTTCAGCAGCCATTAAGGCCACCACTTGGGAACCAAGAGCGCTGGAGAAACCATGGATGGACCCTCCGTGGGCATTGCGGCGTTGTGAAGGGGACGCAAGCAAACAAAGGACACTCAAAAGCAACTTGCTATTTGCTTGCTCAGTTTCTAATGTGAATTAAAATAAAGAAAACACTAAACCACTAAACATTAAGGCCACCACTTGGGAACCAAGAGCACTGGAGAAACCATGGATGGCCCTCTGTGGGTATTGCGGCGTTACGCCCGTCAGGTGCCCAACAGCGGGTACTCACGGCGGCGCGATCCCCATGGCGTGCAGGTTGGCCAGCCCCACCATGTTGGCGTTGCCGATGAGCCCTGGTTTCAAGGCCAGTTGTGCCTGGATTCGGGCCTGCAGCTCTGCAGCTTTCCTGGCCTTCTCAATGGCATCGTTCATGAAGGTGGCTGCCTGGGAAGGCTGGATCGTGTTGCCGATGGGGAGACGTTCCGATTGGGATGAAGAAGAAATTTTTGGCTGTTGATAGAGAAAGAAGTTTTGTTATGTGACTGTTCCCCTCTACTCTGCTCTTGTAAGGCCCCACCTGGAATACTGTGTCCAATTCTGGAGCCCCCAACATAAGAAAGACATGGACCAGTTAGAACGAGTCCAGAGGAGGCCACCAGGATGATGCGAGGGCTGGAGCAGCTCTGCTGTGAGGACAGGCTAAGAGAGTTGGGGCTGTTCAGCCTGGAGAAGAGAAGGCTCCAGGGAGACCTTCTAGTGGCCTCCCAGTACCTGAAGGGGCTCCAGGAAGGTGGGGAGGGACTTTTCATAAGGGCAGTTAATGACAAAACAAGGGGAAATGGGTTTAAGCTGAAAGAGGGGAGGTTTAGATGAGATATTAGGAAGAAGTTCTTCACTGTGAGGGTGGTGAGACAG